CCCCAAAACCCCAAAACCCCAAAACCCCTAGGTAAAAAATATTGATGGAAGGCAGATTTATAAATATAATATTTCAGCTAAATTTTAATTTAATTTAAGAATTATTATAAAGATGAAAAAGAATGGGATTAACAGCAGCTAGGGACCTGTAAATGGTTCGGAAAGATCGAGTTATCACCACCCTGGGTCGAGCCAGTAGGATCGTCGGTGCGACAACTGCAAGTACAAAGTGGCTCTTAACGAATGCCAGCAGTTTAAATGCAAAGACTGCGGCACTTATATCGTAAACTAATCGGAGATTATGTAAAATTTGAAATTAGATTTGTGACTATTGCTATGAAGAGTATATGGAAAAAAATGAACTTAGCGAGTCACAGTACGAGGCTGTCAATGCGCTTTCGGCAAATGATAAGAAAAAAGATCATAATGCACTAATGTAAGTTATTGGAAGAGGGTTTAAAGTCATTCATATAGGGGGTAATATTAGAAGCTATCGTGCGTGTATTGCTCTTCAAGACATACTTTGACAGATATGTAATTCAAATCCCTATTTTCTAATGAGTATTTGAGTATAGATGCGTGAAAACATTGAAGAGTTTTGGGTTTATTCCACCTAAGGGCAGCAATAAAATACTTATCAGCACTCTATCAAAAGAAAAAATAAAAAAACTAGCAAACCTGAGGGTTATTTAAAAAACTTTAGTTTACGTGATCGGTATCGCACCAGAGATAGCCTCTGAGGATATTTTAAAAGCCCCTGAGTATTTCGGACAATATGGAGATCTAACAAAAGTAGTGGTAAATACTAACAATGTCTACAATGCCACAAGGGGAGGCCCTTCATATTCAGCATATCTGACTTACTCACATCCTAGAGAAAGTGCCATTGCTATTTTGGTAAGTTTTATTGAACGATGTTTCATTATATATTAATTTTTATTTGGCCAGTTGATAGCTTATAAATATTTTTATATAGGCTGTAGACTAGCACTAGCTACACGAGAGAGTTCTCAGAGCTTCTTTCGGCACTTCAAAATTCTGTCAGTTTTTTATGAACGGCTAAAAGTGTACTAATAAAGACTGCCTGTATTTGCATGAGATTAAAGTAGATCTTGAAGCTTATACCAAGGAAGACATGCAAAATAATAAATTCATTTTCTAGGAACAACAAAAAATTGCTATCAAATTATCAAGAGCTCTTGAGTTTACAATTGAAGAATTCAGAGACTACAACAGACAAAATAACAAGAACCTGCCTCCAGAGCATGTTAAGTTTGAACCCAAACTTCCATCTCCAGACACTATATATTACAAAGACTTCCACTTCCTAGATGAACCACTTATTCACAGAAAATACATCAGACCTAATAATAGCTCATAAACGAATAACAACAGTAATACGAATGGAAGTGTAAATAATGACTCCAAGTTGAATGGCTCTTCAAGTTCAAACCAATAAACATCAACCTCTGTGCCTTTGAGTAGTTCAGGCACTGGAAATCTATTGGTTGACCCCTTATCAAGTCAAAACCTGGGAGGAACCCTAATGACTCTAAGCAATTAAAAGGACCTGAACAACCAGACTGATAGGAATTAATCGAAAAATAGAATAATTCCATCAGTTTCAAATAGCAATAATACTAATTTAAATAATAATTCATCTGGCATTAATAATAATCAATAAAAAAGCAATAATTATAAGGACTAAAACACTAATAGATTAATTGCTTCAAATAATAATGAAACAGTGAGTGCAAGTGATACCTCTGATGAAGAAACTAAAAGAAGGTAGATTGAAGCTATAGAGGAGATTGTAGAGGGTAAACGATCGTAACCAAGCTAGGTTTAATTGAATTCCTAGTTAAATGGAAAGGCAAGCTATCAAAAGAAGGTTCCAGGAAAAAATCTATCAATTGATAACACTGCGTCAGATAGTCTTCCAATACTCACTCAAGCTAAACTAGAAACCCCCAAAGAGTCTAATGCTATGACCAGCACTCGCAAGATCTTTGACTTGTCAGCCTAAAACGCAAAGAACAAGGAAAATTTAGACGGCATTTAAAATGAAACAGTTCCTACTCTGAACAAACAAAGCAGCTACCAAGGAGCTTTAATAAATTCACTGGATTAATTAGTCCTGGCTTAGGTAAACAATAAGAAAGTAAGTGATGTGTCCACAATAAGTAAGACTCCTCCACACAATGATAATCAGTTCATGATGCAAGTAGCCTCGTACATAATCAGTCCAATGCTCTTCAGGAAAAAGCAAGAGAGTAGATTCCAGTTCGCACATAGCGTGGATCCTATCAAGCCGAACGCTGATGACTGGGATGAAATAGAGGTACCTGCTAAGATATAGGACCTGATAGAGAGGAATATAAGGACGCTAAGCAACAGTCTAAGCAGTAAGAGTGAGGTATATCATGAGGTCGCTCTTGAGATTAAAGATCTTAGGGAAAAATGGCTTACCAAGTAGGAAAAGTTACTAGAGAATTAAGACCAGTTGAGAAATAGAAAAAATGATCTACATGATATGTCTTCGCTAGAGGATAATAGATTGCTGAAGTTTAAATAGAAAAAGACTGATGGGTAGACTGCGTAAGTAGACAGCTAAGGGAAATAGATATATAATCTAACAGAGCACTCGCAAAATATCAGAGTTAAAATCAGTAGATAAAATAGTAAAGAGAATCTTTAGTAGTAAGATGGAAATAAAAACCAATAAATGCCATCATAAAATAACTAACAGTAATAGTAAGAAGAATAAACGGTAGTAGAAAATAGCAGTAATAGTGCTACTTTTGAAGATGGTAAATCCTCATCAAGGACTTCTTCATTGGTATAGCAAGCCAGAGGTACCGTAGCCAGCAATAAATAAGTCAAAAGAAGGAGAAAGGAGGAAAAGAGATCAGATCTACATAGCATAAATAATAAAGGTAGAAACTGAGACTCTAGGTGATATTAAGCTAGAAATACAAGCGAGCTGCTTAGAATAATTTGAATAACAGGCATTTAATCTGAATGCAGATCTTTCATTTAAATGTTCTAAGCCTATACTCTAAAGCGTTTCAGCAATAATCTTATTCACTATTATTAGATATTAAGTTTTATTCACTCTTTATGCAGCAATGGTTTACATTCTCACAAATATTCCATAATCTCTTCTTCTTGGGGTTTTGGGGTTTTGGGGTTTTGGGGTTTTGGGG